TTACATTTTTAGATATATTCTCAATTCAAATAGAATTAATTTTAATAATAATCAAGTAAAATATTTCATATTTCATGAACTCAATTTAAATATAATTTAACCTATATTAAATAAATAAATACATAATTTATAACTTATGCGAAAATAAGAAATTGAAATTGAAGAACTGCTTAGAAACGAACATATAGTGAGATACATTAAGTCGCAAAGGTTACAATGGGCTGCTCATGTAATAAAAATGGGGTCGGAGAGTAAGCCGAACCACATATTCAACACAAAGCCGATGACAACCAGGCTCAGAGATAGACCAAGAACAAGATGGGATGAGAATGTGTATGGTGATGCAAGAACGTTTGAAGTACTGAACTAGAAGAGAGTAGCAGGAGATAGGGACAGATGGAGGCAGATCGAAAGGGACTGTAGTGCCAAATAAGAAGAAGAAATTTATATTCAATTGTTCTATTATGCAAATAAAATATTTCATTGACAATCAACTTATTTATGCATCACCACACCATAAACTGAATATTTAAGAGATATTTTATGTTTTATGTTTTAGACCTCAACTAATATTTATTAATTCTATGTGCAACTGAGTAACTGATTTCTAACTTATTGATATTTTTACAGTGTATCTTATACAAGTCAGTTTTAAAAATTTAAAAATTTAATTATTCCATATGAATAGATTTCATTGACTTTTTTGTTAAAAAAATTAAGTAAAAACGAATTCGAAGTCACATGTTTGTATACAAGGGCCATTTGAAAAGTCTCTTAATTGATGTCATCAATGAATTTCAAAACGTGACTTTTTTTGCTAATTATTTGGAAATAATAATTCATCTACACTATCTCAGTTAACACATTATCGTAATTGATTTGCTAATTGTGGAGCATTTATGAAACTATTTAAAAAAAAGTCTGTCAAAATAGTACAATCATTCATTTAATAATTGACTTTTATTAGTGGAATGCTAGTCGAAAAATTTTAAATGTAAATAAACATGAAGATGCATCACATGGTACAAAAATGAAAACCGATGAACGGGTTAATCAGATACTAAGCGATTAACTGTAAAAAAGATCTCGAATTCCTAACTAGAAATTTGGAATTTGATGATGTCCTCATTACTATATCAACTCATTCATAGTTTTTTTTTATGTTTCAAGCAAATACAACTTCTACCATATAAGGTAATTCTAATTATAAGTTGTTGTCATTTAGAATAATATATATATGGGAAATCAAAGATTCGAATACTACTATACCTTGGGAGAAGTACTATTTTCTATCTTTTTTTAAATTTTATCTAAAAATTCGTTTCGAAACTCCGGATTTCTTCATGTCTACCAGATTTATATGCACTTTTTTCTTTTTAAATGCTTATACCTTTATTAATGGTCTTCTCTTACAATGAGACTAACAATGAGTTTTATATCTTATCACTAATCACATAATACTACAATTTTTATTTTAACTATACATTATTTAATATAAAATAAAATAAGTAAATCTTATCTCACAAACCTCATCCAAATCAATGGGTGAAATTTTATTGGAATGAATGTTGGGTGGTTTATTAAGAGATCAGTTAAACTTTATCAGATTAATAAAAAGAAGCGTGGGTTTTTTACTTCAAGCTATTGAATTTTAATTTATGGCTGAAAGGTCAGCTTCGAAATTCCTAGCTAAGGAGTTAACATGTTCTGTCAGTTAACTTGTTTAATTGTATCTTTTTCTTATATTGTCAAATTCAGTTTTAACTAGGGAAATTTGGAGATCTCAGTGGATACCTAACTTACTAAAATATCATGGGGCAGCAGTGATTGTTTTCTGTATTTTTGACTGAGTTAAAATAGCTAGATACCATAAGCCCATATCGATTTTATGACGCTGTTTTACAAGAGTACTTTATACTCTATGGGCAGCGAAGATCTGTTATTAATGAGCAACTTAGAGTTTTGGAGCTTCATTTGTATTTTTTGCTCGTGTCAAGTAAGTTATCTTTTGCACTTGATAAATTTATTTCTTTTTTAAATTTTTTGAACTATTTTATATTTAAAGATATAAGATATTTAAAGGTTTTACAGAAGATACAAAATGATTAGAATACACATGTAATATATGTGTTTCTTAAAAACTACATCAATAAATAAGACACATCATATCTGAGTCACATCCATTATTCTTTTCCATATTTCACTAATCATTCAATCTATCACGGACTTGGTACATAGCCCTCGTACAGACAAGTACTCAGCCTATTCAATAAGTTTTCATTTTTATTGTTACCCAAATATAATTATAATTTAATTATTTCAATTATTCAGCATAGTAGTTTCATTGCCGAATTTTCTATTAGTAAAATTAGATTAAAAATTAATTTTCATTATTTGTAAAAAATAAACATATAATTTTATTTTTTAATTAACTTTTTAATTTCATTGATAAGCTTTATATAGTATTCTCAAAAAATACGAAGAGCTTTGCAATTAGTTTAAAAAATTTGGCAACTATATCATGCTTTAATGCGTTTGTTAATGAGTCTGAGATATATAAATATATGTATATATATATATAAATACAATTGTTCATATTTTGTTTACATATTTGTTAAATGACATCAATGACACAAGGCATTTAATAAATTTTAATACCTCTGGCAAAAATTAAGCCGTGCATTTGTGATATGTGCGAGTCTGCATAATATTTTCGCATTAATATTTGTTTTGATTATTTTTAGTTATTGTCCCTACTAAATTAAAACAATTCAGTTTAAAAATAATATAATATTATATGCTAATGAAAACTTTATAGCATTTTAGTTTGCCTGAATGCATTATTTGCACTAAAAGCTACAATGAGAATCTTTGTAGTATTGTATTTGCAAAGATGAGAAACAGTTTAGTGGATATTTGTCGATACAAAATAAAAAATAATTTCAATTATAATATATTAAATATATACAGAAAATTAACAGTTGAAAATATATAATAGTGTATTATTAGGAAAATGATTCAAAAATGTAAATAAATATTTTAAAATAAAAAATAATTCAATTGTCAATAATTTTTCATTTAAAAGTTGGAATTAATACATTTTCTATATATATATATATATATATATATATATATTTATATATATTAATATATATATATATATAATATTATATTTATATTCGTAAGTTAAATTTGATTTTAATTTTATATAAAATAATTTTTGTTTTTTTGGCAAAATAATTATTTTTTTTGCAAGAAGATACCGTGCCTGGAAAACATGAATTTTTTTCATTACCCTTTGAATAAAAAAGTAATTTATATATATACAAATATATTATGGATATAAGTTAAATATATATAAACACATACTTAAGGATATAAAATAAATAATGAAGTATCAATAATTTTATAGTGCAAAAAAAAAATATAATTTAATAATTTGTACAGAGTGATGTTGTTTTTAGAAATAAATTGAATATAACTCAATTTGGGATTAAAACTTTTATACCCCAACAATAAAAGTTTTTAATATTTTACAATTTAAAAAATAAAAATTAAAAAAATATGGCATATGTTTAGCCCTAAATTTGATTGAAATCTTAGTTTCTTCATCAAAAAAAATTGTTAAGCATCGTATAAATATATAATAAAAATATTGTTTTTAAAATTTTTGTTTTTTAAATGTTTTGAAGTGTTTATATTAAATAAATTTATTTAACAGAAATTTTTTGTTTTAAAATAAATACCGAAAAGTACACCAAATATGTCTGAACTCAAACGTAATCTTAGTCATTTGTCAATGCTGGTTTGCCGGGCAACGCACTCCAGTCAGCCGACTTGGCTGGAAGAATTACTGAGGTAGGCAATTAAAAATATTAAATAATATATTTAATTGATTTAATTTAAATTTAATTTTAAAAATTATTAGCGGAAACCTTGATGTTTAAGATTGCAGATAGGCAGTTGTGTGAGAATATAAATAATATAATTAGTTGATTAAACTAAATTATAAAAATTCTTAGCGGCAACCTTTATTTCATATTTATGATTATAATTGTATTATCATTTATCTGCTATAAAAAAAATTAAGTTCACTTAATAAACGACTTTCGTTCTTCCACACTTCCGATTTAAATTTAATAATACAGCCTTTGAAGTACAATTATTTAGTACAAATATTACATTATACACGTATGTATATTGGGATCCGTTTTGTTCTAATAATGAAAGTTGCAGCATGCGAAGGCGTGATGGAAGAATTAATTTAATGAATTTAAATATTTTCGTATCAAAATTTATTTTAATTGAGTAAGAAGATAATACCATGTTCAGACAGTCAAATTTCGTTAATTTCGTAAAAATTAAATTAAGTTAATTTCGAAAGCGTTCATACTGCACCAAATTAAGGAAATCATATGTTTTTTGTTTACAAATCGAATGTTAAAAATTACATGCTCCAAACACCATTTGTATCTGGAAAGTATCTGGAAAAGTTGATTCTTATAACTATAAAGGATGGCATTTAGTAGTTCTATTAGTTTTAGTGGATTTCAGTTATGTGGATTATTATTTTTTACTCAATATTAATTTAATAACAGTTACACAGTTCCATTTTTTTCTCTATATTTAAATTTAAAAGTTTGCACTACTTTCAAAATATTATCCCGTTTTCATTAAAATTAACGGTCACTTTTTCGTTATCTCAACTTTATCTTTTGGTAAAAATTTATCTTACGCATAGTCGCGTTTGAAATGTCCCTTAATTTCAGCCTTCGTTTCAACGAAATTAAGGTCATTTTCCTTAATTTCGTTCTAACCTTAAAACTGAATTTTGTATAGAAAAAACAACTTAATTTCGCTGAAACGAAGCTGAAATTAAGATTTTTACGAAATTAAG